CTCCTATTACAGGACATTTTCCCATTTCCTTTTCTATGGTATAGTTTCAGCAGAAAAATGGACGACAGGCTGGGGGAGGATAAAAAATAAACAAGAGAGGGAAAAGAGTCTCTCTCTGAGCAATCTTATAAAACAAAGCATAAATCTTTAACTGCCTGACCTTTCAGCTCACATGATTCTTGGTGCAGGAGGGATAAATCAGAGCTCATCTGGAGGCCCAGGGGAGGGCAGCTTTCTGCCTTCCAACAGGAAGCAGCCTATTTGCGGAAAGCACATAGATGTGTCATTGTTTTTAATAGAAGCTCAATTGATTTCCTAGAAATTGAAATGTTCCCTTGGTTGGGAAATGAAATTTCTGCTTGGCCGTTCCACCTCGGGCCACCCTTTGGTGGTGAGTCTTATTGCGCATTACTAGAATTAACAGAGAAAGGCCAAGTAAAAAGTCTTGGGGACAGATTTCCTCGTAACGTGGAGCCCAACTCCTAGATGCAAATAAAACTGGCAAAGGTTGAGGGTTTCGCAGATGTAACTGCCTGCAGTATGGTGAAGGGCATTTTGTTAACCCTTCTTATGCTGATCTCCAATTTGCCTGTCTTGTCATCATGGCCCATAACTACTGCAGTAGAGCCAAGTGTCAGCTGCTGGATTCAGCAACACAGCAAATATTTTCTATCTGACAGCTTTGATGCTCTTGACTACAGCCAGCCCCTCCATCACAGCCACCAAAGTAACATTTATACAGTTATTTCTTTAATAGGTAAGGAAATGGGTGTGCTTTTTCTTAGCTAGCTGATAATCGATGTAATAAAATAGGTTTCTCCACGTAAGGGAATTTTTTCTTTTTATTTTTTTTCAGGGGGAGGGTGGTGGTGGTGACTAGAAACAGAAAAAGGGTAAATTATTAGCTTCAAGAAAGCACTAGGAACCAGGTTTCATTGGTAAAGCCCACCTCAGTTTATAGAACCAAAGGTGTATTTTGATAATTTTTTTCTTGCTTGGGGGAGAGGGTCACTAGAGTGGTTCAAATGTGAGAGAAGCAGATATGTCAGCCCAGCCTGAGATACTTAAGAAAACAGAATTAAGAAAATATTGTATTTAATTTAAAAGAAAAGGTATTCTGAATCTTTCCTAGATTCCTTTTTCTTGAGTCTGTTTTATTTGTCTCTAGCAGGAGCTCTAGCTGCCTGATGAGGGGGGTACACCTGGTGAAGCAGGTCCCACCTGATGATGGGAGGCTTCTTCCTGAGGTCCCAGGCACATCCCAGGGTCAAGAGCAAAACCACTCAAGGAAAAGAGACTATTCCATGGTTTAGGATATCTAAGGGTATCTGATATTTAAAGAACAATGGCCTTTATGAATTAAAACTTGCTATCCTTTTCTTTAAATGTTATTCTGTTAGCAGGTTATGTCCAAATTCACTTTTTACAAAAATGTGCAAGCTGTTCAAATACAGAAAAGGAAATAGGGATAATTTAGGAGCTGGAGTAAGAGTTTTGATATTTTAAGAACTACATCATCAATTTGCCTCTCTTCATTTTATGTTTACTATTAATTTTTGCTTGTCCTATTTCTTGCGATTTAAATGTGGCCTAGTGGGGACCTGATGAACTGAAAATTAGAATATCATTTTAAGTCTACTATTTACTTTTTTGACTCAGAGTAATTCAGCTTTTATGTATGAGATCCTGACTCTACATCCTAATTGATAATAATTTATATAACTTTAAAAATTGCTGGTTTTACCTATATAGATATAAAAATAATATTTGTATTTAACATAAAAATAATATTTGTATTTAACATAATTTTTGAAAAAATTAAAACCATAGTAGTCAAAAAAAAAAAAAAGAAATCCAGAAAGGGATTTACGTGGGGAATAACAACTAAGTTTATATTTGTTTCTTATTATATTTTTCAAATACTTATTAATAGTCAAATAAGTGAGCTTCGTCCTGGTTTTCAGAGTAAATTTTATATTGAATAGATTTTATTTATTGTAATAGTTGCAATAAAAAGCCATCAAAAAGTGGTTCAGCATTCCTAATAACATAAGAGGGAGCAAAGAGGAAGACTTATTTTTAAAAAATGATTGATATCCTTCTTTTCTAGATTATTCTTCACTAATAAATCACATTTAAGTGGCAGTAGAATAATCTCAGCAGTTTTTAAAACAGTTAACAGTTCAAAAGCTGCCCTTGGCTAGAGGCTATGCACTTCAGATATTTTAGTTATCTATTTATTTTTCTTTCTTTCCCTTTATTTATTTTTTGATACACTGACTCATTTTGTTACCCAGGCTGGAGTGCAATGGTATGATCTCAGCTCACTGAAACTTCTGCCTTCTAGCTCAAGCAATCCTTCTGTCTTAGCCCCCCAAGTAGCTGGGACTATAGGTATGAGCCACCGTGCCCAGCTATTTTTTTCTTTTTCTTTTGGTATAGATGGGATTTTGCCATGTTGCCCAGGCTGTCCTTGAACTACTGAGCTCAAATGAACCATGTACCTTAGCC